CGTTTCGAGCTGTTTGTGTTTGCAAGCAATTCTGCTGGTGATGCTGCTTTGATAAACTGTAGCCTTAGATAGCTTTAGAAAATTAACCCACAGGGCAACTGAAAGTGAATGAAACAATGAGACGTCCATCAAACAAAAGGATGAACATGCTTGACGTGCTCGCAGAATGACGCCCCTGCAACTGCACGCAGTTAATGCATTGGGGTTTCAACCCTGCCACTTCAATGATTTATGTTCATGGGCAATGATTGTATCTAAATGTTTTGTTTTTCAATTAATAGCCTGTAGGTTGCCAACCTACGGTTTGAGCAGTTTGTGTTTGGAAGCAATGATGCTGGTGATGCTGCTTTGATAAACTGTAGCTTTAGGAAACCTACACATGCGGTGTAGGTTTCCAAAAGCTGCATTTTATCAAAGCAGCATCACCCGCATAACTGCTTGCAAACACAAACAGCTCAAACGGTAGGTTGGCAACCTACAGAAAAGAGCACATTTGGCATCATGGTCTAGGAACATAAATCATTGAAGTGGCATGATTGCAGTTGATGCATTGGGGGTTCAATTATACCACTTCAATGCATTGTGTTCCTGCACAATGATGCAAAATATGCTCCTTCAATAGGCTGTAGGTTGCCAACCTACCGTTTGAGCTGTTTGTGTTTGCAAGCAGTTATGCTGCTGATGCTGCTTTGATAAACTGTAGCTTCGTGCACATCTCATCAATCCATCCGTCCGCCAGCCGATTGACATCGATTGACGACCTATCAGAACCAATATTTGTATGTTTGTTGTTTTGTGTTAATCACCCGGCATCTGAGCTCGTCACTGACCCGCCACGGCTGCACAGAAAAGTCCTGATCTGTGCAGATGATCGATGACAGAATTGCGGTCGACGTGATGCTCTGTATAGTATCTTTGCATGCCATGGGAGTGCAAGACTATCAGACCATGTTGAATTGACTAATTGTAAAACTGGAGGAAAGGTGATCTGACAAGGTCTGTCCTTTGCTTTGGTGGTGCCAAATAGAGTCGAAGAGAAGGACGATTCTGTGGGCTATCCATCAAAACCCTGTTTTTTGGGCATGTCCCCAAACACTCCTTCTCTATAACCCGAGACCAGTGCGCTCCGTGTTTTTCTTTGACTCCATTCTCCAGGCGGCCTTCACCCCATCGACCGGTGCCGTGCGCGTGCGGCGCTCTCGCCTCCGCCATGCACTGAGGCTCCAGACCCACAGCTCCCGTCGCTGATCGAGCTTCTAAGGCAATCCAACGTCGACATGTCAATTCTAAGTCCTCCACAGACGTGGTTCGTTGAGGCGCGGTGCCATCGGCCAATTTATTTGGGAGATGGTGGAAGGATTTGGAAGGTGTCGCAAGTCAGAATCTTGATGCCTGTGATCTGATTCAAGTCTTAAAGAATCTTGAATCAATACATTCTTGATTGTAAATGGGTCTTAAATTGCCTGTGATCTGTGTTGTGCATTTTTTTTGGCTGGGTGCACCCAAATATCGAAGGACGCCGGCCAAGCCGCCAAGCCGAGCAACTGGGTTGGGTGACTCAAGGAGCTGAGAGTAGTGGAGGAACCTTTTCGGATCAACGAATGAGGTAGACTGGCTGGGTATGGCTGGGTCATGTTTTCTCAAAGAGCCGATGAATTCTTTTTAAGTGATTTCAACATAGGATATCTCAAGGTCAAAGCCAAGCACTCTTTGAAGACTCCCACATGCGAGGCCGCAAGCTGTGCGCCGTGTGTGCCGTCCTCAACCATGTACTTTCGAGCAGCATCAAGGACACCAAAGATCGTGTCGGAAGACAAAGTCACATCCATGTCCTCAGTCAAACAGACAACTCAGTTACATGTGGTTGTTTAAGCAACAAGTTCTAAAGACAACAAATTTTCTTCATCCACCAGACCAGAAGGTCATGGACCTGGGCCTCTGGCATAGACCCATCGGTGAAGAATTCGAAAGGGTCCAGGCATGATGTCTTCAATCTTGACCTCAGCAAACGCATCACGTAAACGACGTTGGACATCGACAAAACTCGACAAAACTTCTGCTGTGGCGTAGAGATGCGGAGATGTTATGGGATGTTTTAGGGAGGCGCTGTCAAAATCCTTGTTGAAGCTATTCTGGTACATTGTCCGTACAGCACAACGACCAAAAGTGGAGTCTCCCACACAGAATCCCTGGTAATCACGCATACTAGTACCATCACATACCATCACATACCCATTCCATCCCATTCATGTTTCATTCATTGCTTTTGACCCATCCCTTCACACGAACGACCGGTGAATTCCCGAGGAAAACCACGCGTCCTCCGAAAGCCGTCGACCTGAAAGACCCGAGAAGCCACCACTCGTGGTGTCGCTTGTTGTTCACGGAATCCCGCCTAGCAACGACTCGACCGGACCAGGTCGGACGAGGTCGGTGTGCAGGTGTGCAGGTCTCATCCCATGCGTCGCTTTGGTGCATTTTTGAAAAAAAAACAGGTCAATGACCCCAAACTTCTGCTTGAACTTGTTTGGGTCGTAACAATATATAGTAATCTATCAGAATCATAATGTTATACTATATAGGTCCTATCTCTCGCCTCAAAAAACATCTTCGAAAAGACCTCGGAGGCTCGAGCATAGATGGCCTGACCGCACGAACCCCACGGAGAGACAAAACCGGGGCAGGAAGGGGGGGGGCGGGCCAGGCAGGTTGGGTAGGTCTTGGTATGGCTGACACAAACTGCGAGAGGTGTTTGTAAAATGTTGCAAACATGGAAATCCATGTATGTAACATGGTCTACTGCCCTGTGCCATTCCACATCATTCTACTCTGCATTCACCGCAAAAACAATGTGTGTCTGTAGACAAAGCTCATCAAAGCTCCAAAAGGACTATAGGATCTCATAGGCAAGTGTTTTTCGACACATGCGCCCCAAACTGCAGGAATACCTCTATGCCCAACATGCCTTGGCACGTCGGACGTCACTCTCTTGTCACACCTCCCACCAACCCCTCCGCCGACGGCGGTGACGGCGTGCCATGTTCATCCGTGTTCACAGGTCGCCTTGAGGCCAAAAAAGCTTTCACCCTCGGGTCCAACTTGAAACTCCACATCCTCGTGGCCGGAAAACGGGTCTCCGGGTGGCGGGTCTGACAGCTGACGGTCTCGTGGGTTCGGGCCAGTCGTTGATGGATTTTGGGGGGGGTTGTTCGTACGAAAACACAGGACCAGCGATTGCTGGGCCCAAAACGCTCCTGCTTTAGACTAAAATATAGACCAAAGACACTCCCCGGCCATCAATGCTTGGCAGCCTATTGCAGCAAGAAACCTTCCTGCTCAGGCTCGCACAGAATAGGTTGCGGAATTCTCAAGCATGACTTGCATCCGTTTGCTTTTGGCATCGGACCTCTTCAGGCACTTGTCAGGCACCAGCATCGAAAAGCAGAACAAAATCAAGCGAAGCAGAGATGTGTGGCTCAAAGTACAACATCGTTCAGTGTTTTCATCGAAAGTCCGCAATCGAACTGTTTCTGCCGGGCCTTTTCATATCGAAAAAGCCACGCTGTGCTTTCTGAATTCGAGGTTAAAAGTGGGGAATTTATGGGAATTTGGAGTGGAGGTGTGGGCTAGCGAGCTTGGCCATTTGGCCAGGGGGGCTGTGACGGGCTGTGTGGCTTGGAACCTGCTTAAGACGACCCAAAGGTCTTAGCAAATCTGGAGAACTCCAGACACTTGTGTTGTCCCGTGTTGTCACATGAAAGAACTCCGGTGATTCCAACCAAAGCTGGGAATCTGAATAGCTTATGCTACACCAACGGCATGGAGAGTACTTCCTGTCTTTCAAGTGAAATTAGAATCCAAGCTATAGAATCCATTTAAGTTCTTGTTCCTCCCATGGCCTACCTTGGGATCCCTGGACGGCAGCGGATCACGGATCAAGGTTCATCAAAAACAGCAGAAGAACGCAACACTGACACAGCTGACAATGGCTGAACAGCTGGCTTGGATTGCACACATGAAAGTCTAGCCCAGCAGATACGGATATGCAGTACTTCGTCCGGACCATGTCACCGGACTTCTTGCTGACTTTTTCCGTGACTTCTAGCATAGGCTAGCCGTGGCCGCCATGGCCTTTTCGGCGGAAAAACACGGGCAGTCGGCATCGCAAGACCTGAACCAGTCGACCGGAACAAGTCGAAGTCGAACAAGTCAACCACCATCCACGACCATCCACGCTCACTGCTTGTAGCCTTTGGATGCGATCACAGCTTCCGACTTCTGCAGCAACCTGGGAAGCTACGCTGGCTCTGAATCTGCGTTCTTTTTCTCTGGTCAGCTCAGAGTCAGTTCGTCTCAAAGACTACAGACTACAGTAATCTGATGAATTTGGATGTGTGATAGTCTTTGGATGTGTTTGGAGTTGTGTTTCAATGACATCTCGTTCATCCCTGGCCGCCCTGGCCCATGTCTTTTGTTGGAGTGGCATTCAACTTTCCAGACAATCCGGCGGATTCAAACACGGGCAGGAACATGCAGGAAAACTGCACTACCTCAAAAAATGAACGTCTCATGTCATGCCAGACCAAAGTTCCTCCGTCCCAAGTTCGCTGCGCTTCTTCCATACCCATCTCTTCCCACATCTTCCGAGTCGGAAAAATACGGAGCTCCGAGCGACTCTTTCACCGAGCTGTTGGCCAAGTCGGCCGCGGTCTGGCCTTCCTCCCCGGTCGAAATCGGCTCGGTTCGGCGTCAGCTGCCAGTGGGTGGAACCGGGTGGCTCCAGACCGCGTGAAACAGGTGAAAGCCCCAACCTCCGGGAATCGCTATGAATCGCTGATGGTCTTCTAGATGGTTTTGCGGTTCTTGAGACTTCCGAACGACCATCAAACGTGCAAATCAATCCAGATCTCTGTCAACAGGCCCCGTCGGCCACCCAGTGACCGATCTTCCCGGGTCCGGATTCTTCTTGCCCACATCTGCATGGGCTTCCAGTAAAGCCTGCACGGCTTCGACCTCGGTCGGACCCTGGACGCTCTGGACCAATCTGGACCATCCGTTTTGGATGGTTTTTGGGGCCGTGTTCGGTTTCTGGACACCCAGACTCGATTGGTCGTACCATTCAGTCTGTTTTCAGGATGGTGCCTCAACATCTGATAGTTCTCGACCGGTCGAATTGGTCGAAACGGGCAAACCTAATCCAATACAATGATTTTGCTGGTGATCCACTTCTTAGGGAAGTGGATCCAAGTTTCTCCAACATCATCAAGTTTGTCTTCAGCGTGTTGATTGAGTCTCCGACATTGCTTTCCACAGCCGCCTTCATCAAAGCCTGAACAATTCTGGGCCGAAAGACGCCCAAAACCCTGGGTGCGAAAACAAGCTGGTGCCATCTCTTGAGCCATCGGTTGAAACATGTTCCATTCTATGTCTCGTCTGATGTCAGATCGCCCACTTCCAAGTCCATCAACGAAATCGCCGGAACGACTTGCCGCTTTTGGTGGAATAGCAGTGGGGTCAGCGACGTGGAAGGCCAAGGGGCTAAGGGTATACCTTTAGACGACAAGTCGTGTCCTTGGGGTAATGGTGTAGCAGTATATAAAGATTCTAAGAGGTCATCTGGGAGGTTGCAGCAGCATCACATGATCAAGCAATCGCTCTTCCTGCACGTCGACTACCAGGCGCCGGCCCCCACCACTGCAGCTTGGGAACTGTCTCACCAAGGCCATTGGCATGATCCAAAGGGCAACCATGTTCGATGAGCAGTTTGAAGGCGTCCAACTTGAAGGACATGGAATCTAAGGCCTCCAGCGCGACGCAAGCTGGCCGATTTCGCGCCATGCGGGCGGTCAGACGGCTGGAACCCAGCCCGGTTCGGTCAGACGAGTTACGGTTCGGTTTTTGAGGAAACTTGGCTGAAAGAAACTCCACACGGTATAAGTCCTACAAGTACAGCACCAACTTGACGCGCCAACTCCGCCGAAACTTCCCCCCAAACACCTCAAAAACATCCCACCAACCCCACAGGTCCCTGCCATCATCAGCACCGTTCCCACATCTTCCGCCGTGGCTTTGGGATCTGCTTTGGCCAGCAGCAGCATCCGCAGCAAGGGCTCGTCGCAGCGGAAGGCTGCGGGGAACCTGGGAGCAAGCGCTGCTCCAAATGCTGAAGCCGTCCGGCAGAGCGATCGCTCCCGCTGTGTAGTCCTATGTCCTACAGTGCTACTGAGCTGGAATTGTGACATTGGTTTTATTGTTATTGGACCATCTGACCATCTCAAACAAGCTAGAAGGACTGAGTCAGTCTCTTTTGACTCCAAGTCACAGCGCAGTCTTTCCTTTGCAATCAGCAGCGGCAGGATTTGCACCAGCTGTCCTGAAAAAAAAGCACCAACATCGCGCGCTCTCTCTCTCCCTCTCTCTCGCTCTCAGATGTTTTTCTTTCAGCTGGGGTCACAAGAACCATTCATCTCAACTCTAAGGGTCAACGGAATGGATTGCATGTTCGAACCGCCAAACGGCCAAGGGTGTTTATAGTTCGGGCCTAAAACAGTAGGCCACAAGGTTCGCACGGCTCGAGTTCACCAGGGGCTCATTCTTCTATGACTCGACAAAAAATGAACAACATGCAAGCGAAACATACCAAAACTATACCGAACTGCCCCTTCTCCTTCAACAGGTTCTTCTTTTTAGAACCAGTCCTACAACCAGCTTGTCATACCGAGTCAAATACAACAGCAGGTGACTCCCCCTGGGCACTAGCATATAGCGTCCACTCGCCACATCGCAACCCTAACGTGTTTGGACGGACATGTTTGGACTGACATGTTTGGCTTCCGCATCCCAGGCGCAGGAGGACTTGGGCCGCTTGCACGTGCTTCTTCTCAACTGCTTCGATGAGGGCGGTTTTCCCAGACTTCGCCCTGGGCCGCGATGGGCGCGCGCCGCATCGAGACGTCAGACCGTCGGTCGTTCTAAGACTCCAACGTGGCATTGACGTTCACCTTCAGCTCCAAGAGCTTCTCAATCTCAGGACACATGACGTGGGCACCCAAAGAATCTGGACAGATGAGGCAAGAGAATGCAAGAGATACATTCTGTGTCGCTCTGTCAGAAGAGGAAGACTACATAATATGACTAAAAACATCTAAAAACATTAAGTGGGCGGGTTGGGGGTAGCGAATTTATAGTGCTAGAACATTCGATTTATAGTGCTATTATACTAAAACCACTACAGACCACCCTGGAAAGTAAAAGGACCTCGACAACAAAGCAACTCAGGTCATCAGACTGGCACAGTGGACAGCTGAGGTCAACACGCACTCCAGATTGTTTTTGCTGGCAGCCTTCCGCAGCGAAACATCACCAGGGAACGTTACAGAACAGTAGTTCCCCTCTTGGCTGAAGCTTGGAAAAACCAATGAAAAAACCTATGGCCAAGACACCGAACTTCTCTCAGCAACCCTCGCCGTCTCAGGCCGCGTGCGGCCTGAACCCTTCCACGGATTCTGAGTCAGTCGAGTCTTTGGACTCCGAGCGTCGACCGATGCCTTCATCAAAGGCGTTTGCCCAATCTTGTTCGGGACATCTGGATCGACGCCTCGTGAACCACGGGCCACAGAGGATGGATCGGGTGAGTCTAGTTAGACCGGCTCTGCGGTCTCGGTCTGGCCGAGGGCGCGGCTGTCGCGCGCATCCAGAAGGCAGTGTACCTGACAAGTACAACATGATGAGCAGCAGGTGTGTGCGTGTGGCCTCTCTTGTTGGCGGGGACGACCACGCAAGAAGACAGCGCTTTCCTAAATAATCCTAAAGAGTCTAACAACTCGTAAAGCCCTGCTAGCGACTGTCAATCACCCGTGTGTGCTCAGTGTACATTGAAAGCTTAGAGAACAACAAACGGAAAAGGGTGAAAGGAACAGCGATGGAATGCCAGGAAAACGACAGAACAACTCAATTCAAGTTCGACTCCATTCAACCCTGCAAGTGCTTAGGACATTTTAGGACGCTCCCTGCCAATTGAAAGAGTAAGAGGTCCCTCTTCACCCTTGAAACGGCGCTCCTCTTTCGCACTCATTCATCCAGGCGTCTATTTCCAGATGGTTCTGCGCAATGGCCATCATCAAGGCATTATCTCCATCCAAGTCGGATGCCATGAGGTCAGCCTGAAAACGCCCACCGACTGTCCTTCGATTCGAAAGTCGGACCGACTAGTAGCTTCTTAGTTACGAGTAGGCGATGCCAGAAGCGCCCCGTTCATAGCGTCCCCTTGCTCCGTTCGTAGCGATGCCCTTTGTTACTAGTAGCTTCTTGTTTGCTGACAATGCCCTGGAAACATCTTCAAGAAAATGGAGCTCCGGAACTGGTGAGCTTAATGCCGTGTTCAGGTGGGAACGACAACACTCTGCGAACCCGTGTGATGTCAGTTATGCTGAGAGTTAGAAACGCATCATGTGCATCGTGGGGATTGTCTTTCCACGTCTGCAAAGGGTACTAAGCTGGCTTAGTACTTGTTTCGGGCCTCCATGATCTTCAGATGATCTTTGCTTTATGTTCTGTATGTGTTTCATTTTGTTTCCGGTTGAATTTTCCGAATCTTGGAAATCTTGGAACACCACCTGTACTACCTACACAAGGAACGTGTCTCAACCAGGTGATCCAACAACTTGGCCTGACAATCCCTGACGATCACCACCATCAGCGATCTCCGTGCATCTCCGTGCCTTGTGCTCCATCAGCACCTGGACGATCTCCCTCTGTCCCAAGGCAGCCGCCCGTAGCAAAGGCGTCGTGCCGCCCTCGTCACTGCAGTTGCAGTCGCCCTCGAAGTCCTCGCGGAGACGCTCCAGCACCGACGCCTCGCGCAGCGCGACCGATCGCCGAAGGAAGGCGTTCGGAGTGACGCAGCTCGGGGAGTGACGGACGCGGCTCGGGCCAAGAGCCTGGTTGCCGTGCTCGATCTCTGCAAAGAGCTTCTTGAGCTTTCCTGTCAGGTTTCGTATGGGCACTGAAGAGCATAGGTATACAAGCGTCATCAACGTCCCACGATCTCCAACAACCCGTCGCAGGGTATGTGGTCGTCGCGGTCTACGTCTGACCCTCAACGAGGCGGTCATTGGACCCTTAACGAGGCGGCCCGGCCGTCCTGCTTGGCCCTCGTTTTCACCTGCAGGTCTCAGAAGATCCATCGGGATCGGGGACAGCCAACGCGGCCGTCACAGGGACCCACGCTCCCCAAAAAGCCGTGATGCAACCAATGGGTGAAGCATGGTGAAGCATGGAACTCACCACATGCATCTTGGGCGGAGCAACTTGTTGGATAGAAAGGTGTGCATATGGTTGCATGTTCATGTCTTCCTGCAACCTGCATCTGGGCTGTGGAGAAGGGAAGGGAACATTTGGAAACTACTCTATCTGACTGAGTAACTATCGTAAGCAGCAGGTTGCATCTGTAGCAGTCTGAGCCCAAGCTGCATCAGCACAGAAATCATTGTGTTTGGCCTGTCAAGTTGCATGAATCGAACACAAAAGTTCTTCCAAACTAATTATTTAGATCTGACTCAGATCCAAAATCATCCAAATCCTATGTCAGGTCTCAAATTCTTCAAATCCATTTCCATCCATCCATGTCCATCCTTTTTCCTGGTGCTCCGAAAGTCTCTGCCTTCAGCTAGTTGGTCCATCCGGTAGGGGGGGGGGCATTTCCAATTCTCCGCTGCCGCTGCCCCGGACGTCCGAAAATGGGGATTGCCACGCAAGCCACAGCTAACCCGTGGATTGGTGGGGAGCCTATCATGCTAGGTCCGTGCGGTGCGGTGCCTTGGTCGTGTCACATTGGAATTGGGCCACCGGTCTGGATCATGTTGGACCATCCCTACCGATTACCCAGAAAAGGCGTCAGCGAATTGTACGTTCTTCCTTATAATTAGATCTTATAGGATTAGTAAGTAGGGAGGTTGGACTAGAACGGACGCTGGCTTGGAACTCTGGTTACCATGAGATGCTATAACAAGGATTGGTTTCAAGAACTTCACAATTTCGAGACCAACCAAAAACCTCCAAGATCCAGACTGAAGAGGTCTATGAGTCTATGGCTTCACTGCAATCTTTACAATCTCCTCCTCGGCCCTGTAGACAATGCATGTGGCGCCCTCAGCCACCGTGGAATGACCCACGAAGCGGGCCAAAGGGATCTCGATCTCGTTGTACTCCTCGTCCGCCAGGACGACGATCTTCTCTTCAGGCCCCGAGCCACGCACATACATCACCTGCGGGACGGGCACCACGCGGGACGCGGTCGGGCGCCCGTGAGAGCCACGCCCGGGACGCGAGAGGTTCGGGACGTGGCGGGTCAGGTCGGTTTCAATTTGGAGGGCGTTTTTGGGCACCCGAAGGCACCCGAAGTCTCGAGTTCCCATGTTTAAACATTTTGAGAGTCCAGTCAATGTCTCGGCCACTACCCCGGCGGACTTCCAGGTGGGGTACATGAGTCAGTCAAGTCACGGAAGTTCCGGAAAGCAGAGCACTTCAAGTGAACACACAGGTCCAGGGCTCGACAGGTCCAGGTCCAGGTTGCTCCGCGATGACATGGACGTCACCACTGTCCACATGAACAGACTCCACTGGATGACCAGACATGGTCGACCAGGCAAGGGGGTTTGGAGCTTGCTTGGACCCACATCATCCATCATCCCACCATCCCTGGTGTATACAAAACACGAAAAGAAGAACTTACTTGGACCCTTCCACTATTGGGTGGTCAAACAAAGAAACTGGAGAAAATGTGGTCCGTTTGGCGCACGGTCCTCTTTTTATGGGGGATGCGTTCAAGGGGTCCGCCCCTGAACCCCCTTGGAATCATTTTAGATAATTCTGGGGGGTGTGAGGTAGGTTGCTAATCAAAAGAGACGGGGGTTGCACTGAGACATGATTCCAGGGGGTTGGGGTCAATGGGTGACCTCTCATAGGGGGCGTCAACCTTGTCAGGAATCATGCTCTACATCACTATGTCACTATACTATTCCATGTTCTGTTTGAATGCGCCTGAGTCTTAAGCATTCAGACGGGGGGGTGCATCAACTTTTGTGTAGCACGATGCCAACACGAGCTGCACCAGTCTCTGCGGCCAGCTGCGGGTACCCGAGATTTGCCGAGGGATGAACGCATCGCATCGCCGTTTCCGCCAGAGAACACCTTCCTTTCTCTGAAAAGGAATGGCCCCACACACTTCGTGGTGCCCATCCTGTTCTGACTTCACGCGGTTCGCGCCTTCCGAGGACTGGGTCCAAAAGGCCGGTGCACGGCTGAGCCGAGGGAACCGACTCCGGTTCACCACTGGATATAAGATGATATAAGTCATATTGCATCCCCTGTTCCAAAGAACAGCCTCCCAAGGGTTTTCTTCAAGGTTAATATGACGCACACCCCATCACACCCCACTACCATATGGACAATCAACGTCCTGTACCCCATCACACCCCCAATACCATGGACAATCAACCCTATCAGCCTGTACCCCACTGCCACATCCTAGCCCACTGCCTGGCACTCTTGTCTATCTGGTTCAATCTTGGTCAACTTGGCTCCACTGCCAAACTTCTGCACCCTCTCTTTCCCAGTGTCCAGCTCGTCATAGGTCACGTTGTAGGCCGCCGCTCCGCGCCCCTGCTTGTGGGGTTGCCAGTCGGTGACCTGCCCGAACTTGTCGTCAAACCTGACCGTTGGGTCCCGCGGGGCCCGGAGGAACTCGTCGCGCGGAGGTCCCGAGGAGTGCTCCACCGGCGGCAACGGAATCCCACCACGGTGGTGTTTCGGCGTACACCCGAAATGCGGGTGTGGCCGAAGTTCAAAGAATGACGGAAAAAATCCTCCAAAACAAAGCAGCAACCTTTTCCGCATCGCAGCAGATCCCACTCCTGCCTGAGAATCATGCCCTTCCTCACATCCGTGACGGTGATCAATTCCTTGGTCGAGAAGCACCTCAACGAAGATCTCCGACTTCCAGCTCGGCAGGCTTGGCTGACGTAAACGCGGGCGACCGCCCACATCGTGCGAGGAGGAACGTTTCTCCACCCCGGAGCCACTAGTTCTGGCTCCCTTTGGGGGCCCCTTGAGCCACCAGAGCAGAAAGATTCCTCTTTGGGGGGCAGGGCCTGCAAAATCAGCACCAAAAAGAACCTGGTGGGCAGTAATTTGAGCTGGATGTGCGTTGCTTGCAAGGCTTTTTTTGAGGCCCTGCCCTTGAATGCTCAATTCACTTATCATTTGCTCCATCACGTACCTTTGAAGTTTCCCGGTGGCACGGTTACAGCAGAGAAAACAAGGCAATGTGGATGCAACGGGTCGCACGGGGTGTGCTCGGCAACACAAACAATTGGAGGAACAAAAACTCTCATGCAATGAAATTCTCCATCCGAGGTCGTAGGGTGTCACAAGCAAGGTCATGCGCTCCATCCACGCGCATTGTTGCGGCATCGGGCGCTCGCTTTTTGGGAGGACTCTTGCTCCGCCGCACTCCTGGCACGTCCGGGAGCTTCGACCCGCAGTCGCACGTCCAAGTTGGCCAAACATGATTCTGAAGCGACGTGTCAACACCGTCAAGAGTGAATTCAGCACGCGTAGCGTATACGTGTTCAGCCCACGAGCTGATGGCCCTGGCTTTGTTGAGGAATGATCAAAAACAAGTCTTGGGCACAAGAAACCTCGGCACCGACTACTCCAACTAGAAAACTGTGGCAATCGGGCGCCGCTACATGCCGCTACTTCTTCTGGTCCAAACTGATCAAAAGATCGAAAGGGGCGCCAAGCGGGAAGAACCCAATCAACCCTTTTCGGCATCCCGGACTGTTCCTTTCGGGTCTCCGGGAGTTCTCCGCTTGCGAACATGCTTGAAATCCGCTCCATGCTAATCGGTTGGTCGCTAATCCAACCCCCTTCATAGGGATCAAGACTGCTAGCTCCACCTTGAACGCTCCGGGAATGTGGCGCAGAGCGTTCAAGTGGCACTTTTTTTTTTCCTTTTCACTGAGACTCAAAGGGGGCACCACATGGCTCCATATAGATGTGTTGTCTTCCTAGTGCCAATTAGATCAATGTAAACAACTAACAATGAACATATATATGGCATGTTACATGTTGCACCATATTATGTGGATTTATGTGGTGTCTTAATGCAGTGGATCAAAATTGGCACCATATACAAGTCCAGCACTACAAGTTGGTATATATAGTCTTCCCCAAAAAAGCACTGGTGGGTGGGTCCAAAAAGCTTGTTCTCCAAACCTAGGCAACCAACCAGTGGATCCCGTCAACCCTTGTTTCCATGCGGTGCCGTCCGTGTTTCCATTGTTCCCAGCGGAGGAATCCGCCCGCCCGCTCCTCTCGGTTCGTTGCTAATCAAACCCTCTCATGGGGATCAAGACTGCTAGCTCCACCTCGATCAGTGTGGAGGGCGATCTGGAACGAACTTCGCATGGAGAATGGCATGGTTCCTTTGAATTAAGAGCTTTATGACCCAAACACTCCATGTATGGAATACATATATCAAACGGCTTTGGAGGGAGGAAATTCGACCGTATCAAGCAATGACTTGCAAAGGATTCTATGGGGAAAGGGTTTTCACCTTCCTAGTGGTGGACAGAAGCAGCCCTTTTCCCCAATGATGGCTCATATCACCTGACTTTAGTGTCGATGTGATGCGGGGAGTTGGTGGAACCCAGCGGCCGAGCAAAACCCAGCGGTCCCCTCAAACCGGGGGTGTTTTCACGGTAGCCCCTTGGGGGTGTCCAACTAGGTGTCCCTTCACCACCCCAAAGCAGGGCGGGCCCAAGGTACAGTATACAACCCCCCAGATCGACTCCAAGCACTCTGACTCGACTGCGGCGGCAGATGCTCCATATGCTGGGATCATGGCTCAAACGTCTTTCCTTGAGAAAACCCATCAGATCATATTTGAATCATATCAGATCAATCAATCAGTATCAGTCTCACTACCAAATCCTCCTCACCATCTTCCGGAGATGAACATCATTTTGGAACTGCCAAATCCTCCTCACCATCCCCGTCCCCGTCCCCGTGCCCTCCCGAATACGCTGCAAATCTCGCACAAAGGTCTCACCCCACGTCTTTGAGGCGAAGGACTTCCCCATCCACGCCAAAGGTCTCCTCAGGAGTGCTATTGCCATCCACCTCCACCTGGTTCCGGAGCCGCAGGCACCATCGCGGAACCGATCGAAAACATTAAAATGTTCAGTGTCTCAGGTTCCGGAAACTATTAGAGGGGTCAGGGGTCTCAAATCCCCAGGTTTTGAGGTCGTTTTGGCCCTTCGGGTAGACCCAAAAACCCTCTAGAAACACCTGGTTCTGGGATCCACTCTGGTCATTTCGACTCGGGAAACTCCTCTCAAGTTGAAATGGTTCGACTGCCACAAGTCGCCAACTGGATCATGGAGAATCAAAACCTGGAGCCCGACCAGTCCATGTAGCGAACGACCTTCGTAGGTCAACCAAGGTATGCTGGTGCCATGACCCACAGCTATATGATGTTCCAACATCATCCAACAACTTCAAAGCAAACACCATCTTTCGCATCTGTTGCATCTTCAAAACCAAACAACCCACCTTGCCTCCTTCCCCCTCGCCTCGTTCATGCCCCCTTCCCACTTCCTGGGCGCTTGTGCGCTGGGCGTCGATTGGAAGGCCTCGGCACCGGCGCGATCGTGGCCGCCGAGTCGGCCGGGCGTCGTTCCGTCCGGGGCGTCCGGCGACGGCCCGGGGCGCGAAGTGGCCGGGGGCGGGATAGCCATCGTCCGGTATCTTGGCACGGTGCGGCACGGGCGGCACGGCGTGCCAAAGAGGCTGGTCACAAATGGCTGGTGATCAAATCATAGCTGAACGTTGGCGCCAAAGAGGTTGAGTTTGGATGCATTCCGGAACTTTTGCACAAAAAGACGAGTCTTTTGAAGGAAACATGCCAGCTTGGACGATCTTCCCAAACTGGTCAGAGAGCTTCTTTCCAGGTAGAAGTTCAACCTGTGTGAATTCAGACTGACAGAAGATTGTGCAAAGCTTCTTGGACAATCTATGAACACACTACAGGACACTTGACATCTTGAGTTTCCTCATAGTTCTGAAGGTTTATCATACGCTTACTCAGAGGTGTCACACGGTGCCCAAAAGCATCTATGTGTTTTTTGATACATAGGACCTTTCATCTTTCATCAGGAGACACTACTAGCAGCACAGTAGTGCGTCGCAATGAAGGGGGTCCCTGCAAAGTCCTCTAAAAAAATAAACAGCGGCTAGACACAGCGGCTCTTGTGGCGAAGCCCTTGTTTTTGTTGGCCTCATCGGTCGCGACCAAGTGGTAGCCCCGGTAGGGTGGGGCACCACCACGCCTCGGAGATCGCTCCCGCCAAACGGGGGTACGGATGGGTGTTCGTTTTTCTACCACCGTCTCTCGGGGGTCCTTAGACCTGTGGACACAAACCTCTAAGGGGCCATTATTGGACATACCAAGGGCTATGGGGCCGAGGGCCTTGGGAGTGTAGCTCAACGTAGGTCTCGACCTCCCAGCCGGGCGATCGGGTCTCCACAGGGGTCTTCTCTCCCTGTTCAAATACGACAGCCAGGCTTGTCTTCTTCGACCAAATGAATCTAAGGCCCCAAACGCGTTGTACACGTGTCGCTTGACCTCAGACGTGTCATTTTCGTGTTCACCCTATGTCCGAAAAGGACGGCGCTCGAAGAGCACCACGATCAACGACGCTGCTGGACATCCAGCCAGCTGCTGCCGCGTGGTCAATCATTGGGACATCTATCTGGGGAACATCCGCCAAGAAGCTCTACCCACCTCCTGAGATTCAGTGGTTGGGGTAGGTGTTGGGACGTCTTGGGGGTCTAACTACCGAGGTGGGACCAGAGCTGGGATCCATCATCCATCCACCGTTCTGACCAGCTTGGTCGAGGTCGAGAAAGCTGCCGAGCCGTTTAATACGTAGTTGTTCTTTTTGGCGAAAAAGACCGTGGAAGGAAGAGGAGGCTTCCCTCGCCTTGATGGTGTTCATGACCACAGCTGTGAGGTCGGAGTTCTCATCCAGCTGGCAGGCCTCGAGCCTGAACATCAACGGCAACAAAACGGCCGTCCTCTGGCGCTGGGAACGTCCACTTCGGAGAATGGGCCGTTAGAAGATGCTTGAACATGCCAAAAAAGGAAAGAAACATCATGAAAAGTCGTGTGCTTCACTTTCGTCTCGAACGCTTCCCTCGACGCATCCCGTCGGCGAATCGCATCGATCTCTCCAGGTCGAAGGCGAAGCGTCCGTGTTCGATTCCCCTCGGTGTCCAGAACATTCCAAAACCAATCCCCTTAAAATGCTCGGGGTCACGGCTGCGCAGATGTTGGAGAGAAACACAAATTGATTGTGTATAATATATTATATATATATACAGATCGATATAGATTTGATATGCTTTGGTTGGGTTCTAATAAATAAAGAAGGTCACACATATAATATCTGTTCCATTCACGGAACAAACGTCCAACGCATCCCCAAACGCGAAAACGGTCGCACCGAGCGTTTCCACGGAGACGGCCAGGCCACCCGGGCGTGGCGGAGTCCGCTAAGACCTGCGGGCGTGGGTGCTATCCGGTCGGCCACCCGGTCGGTGGAAGTCCCTTATGCAAAAGGAAAAGCCAAACACTCCATGTAAATATGCCCGAAACTACCCCAACATGTAAATATTCCATATATCCATAAATGCATGCATCCTGCATGGAGTCTGCAGTTCTTTGAAAGATGTTGTTGGTTCTATATCTAAACCTGCCTGGTACACGGAATGTAAAGGGAACTTCAGTTGTTGAAGGAAAAGACGTGGAACACCATAACATCTTCATTTATATATGTCGTGCATCTGAAAGATGCTAAGAAGATGTCACCTTGAGGCCTAAGACCTTGCTGAGACGGGGTTTGCACATGTGCAAAAAACACCGGATCCAAGTCTACGGTGCAGTGATGGGAAACAGCCATCTGGTCACCAGTCATCGTCCGTCGTCCTCTCTTCACTCCGCGTCGCCTCACCGCCGCAGGTGATCTTCGTCTGGGCCACTGGCAGGTCCAGCAGCGTCGCCGCTTCCTTCGCCAGGTCCGCCACCGTGCTGGAGGCCTCGACCGTTCCGCGGCGAGGCCCGACCCGAACCGACCGGACCATGGGATTGACTTGGACGGTTTGACCGAAACGCCTTTTGAGGACAGAGCGTGTCCATTGCGAGTTTCTGGGGAAAGCTCTACACCACGGTGTGAAAATGGAAGAGAACATGCCCCAAAAGGGGAGAATTAACGAAAGCCTTTAGGCCGCAGTTCGGCGGTGTGCGGAGAAAACCGCTAACTGAGTCAAGTGAGTCAAATCTGATCGATGGTCTTCTGTCGTCCAATGATCCGCACAGACGATGGGTGTGAACCTAAAACCTGCATCTGCGTCTCCCGAAAACCTGGCTACCCTTGGACCATCCGAGCCGAGCAGACCCCCTACGGCATCGAACGAGTCTTGACAGGTCCAGTGGCAGTTTCAAACGAAAGAGATCTTCCGAAGTAAAAAGACAACTCCCTGGAACAATCGATGCAAGTGGATGGCCTGGGCCTTGCCTCTTGGATGATACCGTTCCGAACACCAAACATGATTAAAATGATGATAACATGATATAGGAAGGAGTGCTTGGAGCTTCACCTCAGAATCCCATGCAGTGCTCCCCCCTTTACAACTGTACTATCCAGTCGCTCTTAGTCTTCCACCCAAAAACCAAGCACGGCCGCCATGTTTCCACCAACCGAGCCGCATCCAAGGGCAGCGCAGCCCCTGCACCGGTGAGCGACTTCACCTCGGATCCGCCAGCCGACGCGACAGCGCTGAACGGCCAAACGCCCCCCAAAGGCATGACGAAATGACCAGTTTCCTATATAGCATGTAAAGCCTTGGCATAAATTCTTGGGCTTGGTCTATTGCCAAATCTGATTTTTGACTTGGTCAAAAACAGTATGCTGGCCTTTGGACAGAGCGCCGTACCGAACCACGACGTTTCCAAGGTCGCATATATTTTCTCTGTGAAAACCTAACCATCAGTGAAACACCGAATAAACGTGTGGCGTCCAGCCACCAGCATTTGTCCCCGCAGCCGGACAGCCACCCAGGCTGAATTGCTTGCTGACCAAGTGGCTGTGAGCGTCTTCGGCCTGGTGTGGCCAGTGATCCAACGCCGCGGCGGATAATTAATACGTCGAGGAGCTTCTGAATTTCGAGAAGGAAAGGCTCTTCAGCTGAAGGAAACCACACGTCCCATCCGCACGACTGAGATCCCGACGGCTCTTTCGTCTCCTCCTTCTTCTCCGAAACCTGGGCCTTGACCGTGTCCTCCCACAGCGGTCGCCCCCCCCGGGGAGGCAGGTCTTAAAACTCACCAAAGTATCCACCAAGCTCTGCTGAAGACCTAAGCACCACCAACTCTCTTTGCGTGCGTGGGGAGCTCCTAAGGCGGCATGCGGGGTACTGCCATGTACTGCCCGTGGTCTCACTGTCCCACTTGGCAACAAGTGGGTTGGCCTCAAATGCCAAACCCTCGAAGTTGAAGGGCTATCAGTTGCAACTAACTGCAGTGACCCCTCACACTGGCACCCCACCCCCCCCAAGAAAGTAGTGTGGCAAGTGCTGGATGACTGGTTTCGTGGTCAGCATGGCACCGTTGAGTCTGGCACCATATGCAATATCATTCCCAGACGCGACCCTGGACCCTGCGTTCAGTAGGGGTCGTACCCAAATCCTCTGGAGGGGTTCGGACCTCAAATCCCTATGGTTTTGAGGGACCAAGGCCTGTGTGGAGCGTCTGGGTTGCATATTATAGCATATATAAATCAAATCGTGCATATTTGGAAGAACATGGAAGAACCAGGTTCTATCTGTTGTTATCTAAGTGCTCACGCCACCTGGTATGAAAGGCATGGCCCAACTCTCTGAACACTGCACAGACTTTGTGCCTTGAGGAGTTGAGCAAACCACGTTGAGAAGTCCTGGCGAAAAGTCCGTCGGCCGTCTTCCAAGATCCCAAGAAGCTTCCGCTTTGCATGACATTGACCCTCCAAAGAAAGAAGATGAGAATCTGCGAATCTGCTATCTCCAAGCTTGTTCAAAGGACCATGGATGAAAATCTAATCTACTGATATCTACTGCAGAAAACTTGTTTTCCAGGCCTCCTCCGAAAGCCCAGCTTTCTGGCCTTCCGAGTTGGGCTCCGAAATTCGATTCCACCCAAGGTCTTTTCTTCAGAGCCACCGTGACTTGAACGGCTTTCGAACCAATCGAAAGATTCCGATGGGCCAACCGACAGTTTCAACGCTCGGTACAAGTCATGATGTTGATGAAGGTTCAGGTCATGGTATTTGTCGAAAGCTCAAATTCAATGATTGGTGCATTACCACAAGGGCAGCTAGCCGACATGGAGATGGCTGGTTTACGGCTTGGGTGATGAGGTTTGCATGTGGATCAGGTTTGTTCTCCATTGCAGGTTGGAAACCCAGAGCTTGAGCGTTTGATTGCTCAGATCGATAATGCTAGTGATGCTTGCTAGGTGGACTGCAAGTCGAGGTCTGAACAATGGATTAATATACCTGCGTTCTCAGACTTCTACAGTAAGATATTACTGATTGGCTGAGGTTGTCAACAAGAAATGATGTTTGAAGGTATGCCTTCATGACTGGAGGTCCGAACCATGATCCAGGTTCATGCGGGTTCATGCGGGTTCAGGCGTCACAGGCCTGAAAAACTGGCTTCCCCTGCTTTGTTTCAAACCAGTTAGATTTAGATCCAGTCAGCGCATTTTTGACCTTTTGGCTAGTTGAATTCTGCTACACAATGCATCTTGAATCATCTTGCCTTAAGATCTTCTTTTCCCTCAGCGTGCGAAGACCACCTTTAAACCCGAGGACCTTGCATCCTGCTGCTTTCATTCACCTTGTTCAGTTTCTGCGCAGCGTTGTCATACATTCTTCACCCACCAGGCAGACCCTCAAACCCCCGTCCGTCCAAGCACCGCAGGACAAACAACCGTCCGGTTTGTCGCCTGGCGAGAAAGGCTCCATGGATTTCGCAATCTCCTGCTGAGCGGAAGGAGAGCTACAAAGCTCTAAGACCAAAAAGGGGGGTACCGACCCCCCGAGGCGTTCAGTTCCGAACTTCCTGCGGTTTCAGTTTGGAAGGACAGATCGACCAAGTCTACCATCGGTCCCGCGGTTTCGCTGCGCGGTTTCGGGGCGATCGGGTCTCTCCCGGATGTCAAATACACACCGCAGTTGAACACGGGTCAACCCATGGTCAGCCAGGCCCAGCAGTCGCCTCATCGGTGAGCGACATGCCAAGACCTGTCGCCACCGTTTTCTTCGCTGTTCAACGGGGCCCGGCTTCAGCTGGTGGTCTTTTTCCCAACAGCAGAATTCGGAAAAAAATATTTCGAATATCCCAGTCACCTGCCGTTGGGTTGCAGAGCTGGGTTCACCTTTTCATTTCAGCAATCACTGCAACGCCCAAAAGCCCAGGCCGGCCGGAACTTCGCGCGGTCTTCCGGCCAGCCGAAAAGCCCAGCCATTCGCATCAAGCAGATCGTCAAGTTTCTGAGATCATCTCTTAACCTTCAACTGAAACTGTCCATTGATCAATACAACCTCCAAATCATCTATGCCAGCCTAAATATCTGGATGACATACAGTGTTCATCAGTGTTCTGTTATACTTATCGACTTTCATCACCTTCATCCTGCTCCGCCCTGCGCCGCCCTGCGCCTGAGTGCAAATCCTGGCACAACGAACCCACCTCATCCGACCTCAGCGGATGACTCGGGTTCACGGCCGAACTGAGGTGCCAAGACTTCGACGCGAACTGACCCGCTGCTGTATTGGCTCAAGACTTCGACGCGCTGTTCCAGCCGTGTTTGATGCCCGGCGCGGTGACCACGGTGGGACTATTGGTGTTTCGTGTGAACCCGACAAGCAATCATGCAACGTGCAGAAGCTCCAACACCAGTGGAGTGTTGGGACGTAGACTTCCAGTCCGTCTCCTTGTCCCGGTCGTTTCTCTCATCCTCTGGCACTGAGATCAGGACTCCAAGAAGCCGTCCTTGTTCGCATCATACTTCCGAAAGTACTTCCTGACAGAAGCAAAACGCCCCTCAGTTGTTCAGCCACGGGAGTGCTCGAGTGTCGCCACGGGAGTGCTAGGTGCTCGAGTGTCGCCCAATGCGAGGAAAAACATCTCAACCCAGCACGCGCCTGCACATATCCGACAGAAGCTTCTCTGAAGTCAGAAGTGCTGCGGCATACCTGGGCGCGCTCCAGGCGCGCTGGCGCGACCGTGTGCCCCAGGGCGGGCGGGGCGGGCTGTGTGGCTTGCTTCCTATGCGATCCATCTCTTTCACAACACCCTGACTTGTGCCCCCCAACACCACCGGCTTAAAACATTTACAAATAGCGAAATAGGATAGAGAATGATTGAATATTGTGAATAGATTTGAATAAAGATCATCATGTGACATGTGGTGAACCCGAATGCTTTCCTGTTGGACTTTTGTCGCCAGTACTGAAGGGTCGGTCCGGTCTCTCACCACCGCGTGGAGAGCGGTCGAGCGGATGGCGGATGGCGGTGGTGCTTCGGCTTCCGCGCGAAGCGATGTACTAAACCAAGTGATCGAAAAGTCATCCATGTTCATGGCCCTCTAAAAATCCAAATCCCATGGGCGTTTCACATGCAAAAGGGAAAACACTTAACCAAAACGCTTAATGATGTCGGCATAGGCGGTCTCTTTGAGAACATGTTCGACCAGCCAAGTCGCTGTGGGGTAATGGCCGGAAGCCTGAACACGGCTTGCGGGTTTTGCGGCTGCCGCGCTGGTATGTTGTAGGGGGGATGGAGGGGGGGAGCCTTGCGTTCGATGAGAATTCTGGAATGAAATCAATCATCAAAAAGTATCATATGTCAGACTATGAGCTTTGTGATGAGCTTCCGGCTAAGAGGAATGGCTACCTTTGTTTTGAAAAGACCTCGCGATAAGCTTCGCGATCACTGGATCACTGGACTTGGACTCTCCAAGGGACCTCTGAAAGCGAGCGAGCCCACGTCAGTCGAAGGCCAAACCAGAGAAACCCCCAAGTGGAAAAAGTGTGCTTGGGATGGACAGCCATTTGACATGTAGGTGTGGTTCAAGGGAGGCAACCCCCATGAAATGAGAATTCAATAGCCAACAAGAGACAGTTTTCTGACGGTTTCCCTCCTACTGGGTGGAGCCTAAGTCAATTCCTGCACAGGATTCATAAGTTGGCATGAAGGATGGCACTAACATGCCGACACTGATTGTTCTCGTCCAAAATGACATAGGAGTTGGGGTGAAAG